AAACACCTTCACATGCCCTCGCATACTGCCCCAGAGACATTAAGAAAGCTGTCAAAATCTGTAAAGCAACTACCATACCTTCTTTCAAATACCTCCAAATGTCACCTCTTCTGTGGTTAAGAAAAGTTGCTATATATAACAATCACTAGGCAAATGCCAAGTTATAATTACTGTTACTATTTAGGCTCATTATATCAATAAGTTACATTTTAGTTTGGATTAGCTATATCCCTCTTTCACTCCTTATTTCTGCCATCCTATAACTTGTTTATTATGTTCAGGGACGTAAGCATACTAGGGATGTAAGCAACTAGTTGACTATCCAATAAGCATAAGGTTATCATAGTGATAGAAATGTAGCCGTGTTAGTCTGGGGTAGTTGAAGCAAAATGCAGGACAATGTAGCACTTTAAAGACTAACAAGATGGTTTATTGGATGATGAGCTTTCGTGGGCCAGACCCACTTCCTCAGATCAAATAGTGGAAGAAAGTAGTCACAACCATATATACCAAAGGATACAATTAAAATCTTCCTAAGCAGATCTAGCAGTAAAAGACAAGTATATGTACTCTCCCATTACATAACCATTAGCTGTTGATATGTCTCCTTGTTTATACAGATTCTTCCTTATCTCAAGGTTCCTGCCTAAGTCAGCATTCCGTCCTTATCTCTAAAGCAAGGCGAAGAAAGTGTTCCTTATCACTCTTGTGTGATTTAGGGAAAGGGTTAGCCTGTCTTTTGCTCTATTGCTAACAAACCTGAGATGGCTGCACACATATCCCCGTTTTTCCTTTCCCTGCTTCCACACCACTCATGCTGCAATTCTGCTTTTGAAATGTACAAGAGCCCCAGCAGTCCCGTGATGGCACCGCACTCCCAGTGGTGCTTCTGCTTTTGAACTGTAGCAAGAGCCCAAAGGGGCACTTGTTACAACTCAAAGATGGAGGCTCCCTTACAGACTAATCAAAGTCAACTGAAATCCCATCGACTATTCAATTAATTAACCTAAATTTAACATCCCTAAGCCATACCTGACAGATTTATAGATTCTACCACAAGATAAATAAAAATAAAAATAAACATTGTACATGACAGAAACCCATGATTAAAAATACAAAATTAATGTGTAATTAAAACTGAATACCTAACATTATTTTAAAAATAAAAAAAGTTATAGCGACTATTCCTCAAACAAAAATACAAACATAGAAAATACAAAGTTGAGGTTAAGTTTAAGGTAGGGAAATATGCAGTTTATGAAATCCAAACATAAGGTTGTTTGGCTGTAACTCTGCCCTATAGTGAAACCATCCATAATTACATAATTATTGCATATGTTTGTATAGGACAGATACATCTAATTCCCCTCATCCACTTCATGATTTCAGTACAATGCAGAGCTAAGGTTTTTCTTGGGCACTTTAACCATGCATTTTTATAAGTTAACATGTTCTGATTTCCTGTAAGCACAAACTTTTATACACGACTCAGAAACAAGCTGGGTACTCTTTTTTGGGGGTGTCCTTTCTTTCTTTTTTTAAATTAAGTTGTAGAGCCTCATTCACCAGAATACCGACTGTGTTACTTCACTCTACAGCAGTACAAAATAGTCAAGAGTATATTGGCCAGTCCTGACCTCTACATTCACCAGCATACACAGCTGTCCCTGTCTACTGCTCCACACATTCATTTCTGCTCTCCATGCTGTGCACAGGTGATACAACATGTAATTTGTAAAACATTTTTAGGACTAGTTATGTTTTTACATTATTCTTCATTGCTCAAAGTTTCTTCTTTAGCAGAAGCTGAAGGACATTATTTCTTCTGCAATGATTTTCATGAACAACTTCCCTCTTCCATGGTGACTGTCATCTCACAATGCTTTCAAAGTGATATTATGCTATCAGAAACTACCATCGTCTCTGCGTGCAACTGGGCCTTACTTTAATTGTTTCTAACATAAGTGAAGATACTGTTCTAAGTACAAGCATGAGAATGTTTTAATCAAAAAAAAGCCAAGTGTGGGCAATTCTTAGAATTCATATAAAATAAGGTATAGGCAGATAATTCACTAATTTTATTGACTATACAATTAGTCGATAAGGGAAGGCCTTGCTCAGTCCTGACTCATACAGGGTCCAGGAACTACCCTTCCTGCGTCTCTACAATTTAAATGTAGTAAGAGCCAGATACACAGGCAACCTGGTTCCTACTACATTTGAACTGCAGAGGCACAGTGGGGTTAAGTCCCAGACCCAGCACGAGTCAGGACTAAGTAAGCCTGGCTCAGTCCAGGCTCGTGCCAGGTCTGGGAGCTACCCCCGCTTTAGCTCTGCATTTCAAATATAGTAGAAGCCAGGCTGCAGACTACCCCTGCTGTGGCTCTGCATTTCAAATGTAGTAGAAGCCAGGCAACTCTTACTACATTTAAAATACAGAGCTTCAGTGGGGATAGCTCTCAAGCCCAGCGTGAGCCAGGACTGAGCAGGGGGTCTATCAGCCCCTGTCTGCAGGGAGTCCCAGCAGGGAGCTGGGATCCTGCAGAGAGCTGGGATCCTGCAGACAGGGGCTGCTTCGCAGCAGCCTCCCCTGCTTCCTATCAGAGGCAGTAGTGCAGGATGGGGGAGCAGGTGACACTGTGGACACTATTGTGGGGAGCCTGCTTTTAAAAAAAGCTGACTCTCCTCAGGACCATCTCTTGCTTCCATGCCCCCCTTGCTTGGGGAAGAGGGAGTGATAGTTGACTCAAATACCCAGTAAGCCCTAGGCTTATCAGATAATGGACTACTCTCTTATATCCCTAATATAACATCATTGTGAAAGCTACAGACTACTAACTCGGGTGCCAATACTGTATTATAGCCTCATTTACTCTAGGAAATTTACATTTTGAAATCATGCTTTGTTCAGTTCTATTGAACATTATTTCATCCGGTTTACACTTGCAAACACAATGCTTTTTAACTGCATTTTGCTTATAGTCACTACTGATATCTGTTAGCAACAGGCACATTTCCTTTTGTAAGCAAGGCTGATGTTTCTTCCCCTGCCCCAAACTATTTGCTAGTTAAAACATATAGCTATGAATTTACATAATTCCCTCCCCCCTTATTAACTGAAAACTGATACTTACTGTCTAGTTATAAATTTGGATAAATTTGATACTATTGGCCCAATTCTCAAGCCATAATTCATGTACCTACTCCTTACACCTAATAGCTGTTCCATTGATTTCAATGAGAGAACTCATATGAATTAAGGATGCAGAATGATTCCCATGCCCCCTTAAAAAAATAAATCAGAAACTATTGTTCCCTGTTCTGGTATCTGCAACTGAAGTGACACATTTTATACATAAAAATATATAGGATTTGTTAAAAAAGTGTATCAAAGAAAAAAAAACAGCTTGGACTATCACTGTGGTTTTTTGCCTTATGGCCATGAGAGCTAATAAATTCACTAGTTATGTTACAAAATTAAGAATAACTTAGGGTAAAACTTAATATTTATTCATTAAATGCTTATGAGCATTGATGTTACAGACCTAAAATTGTTAATTCTTATGTTCAAGCAGTTTCAATTGTTAGTGACAAGTCCTACTAGTGAGAGCACTTAAAATTGTTTATTTGGAAACAGCATAGAAGAAAACATTCTTGAGAAGACATTTTCTAAAACCACTACTAATGTACTAGTGATAGAAATGTAGCCGTGTTAGTCTGGGGTAGCTGAAGCAAAATGCAGGACAATGTAGCACTCTAAAGACTAACAAGATGGTTTATTAGATGATGAGCTTTCATGGGCCAAATGTACTGTTTACTTGAGAACAATTCTGCAGTGTACTCAGCAACTGTAGTTTCCACTGATGTAACTCAGTGTTTTCAACACTCTACAATATGGAGTACTTAACATTTATGTGACGCATTAGAAGAGATTATAGTACAACTATTTTTCATAACTGAACAAAATATAGGTTTATAGTCCCTTCTACAGCCTAACTAATATTTCTTCCACAATGTGCACGCTCAATGGTGTTTTAACACATGGCTGTTCAAGTAATAGGGTGCTGACATTTACTATGTAATTTTTCAAACATTAAGCTTTTCTAGGAAAAAAATTCAGATGGCAACTGTAAATAAGTGAATGAACTTCACGAAAGGCCAGGCTCTGGGCAATCTTCTCGGTACTTCAGTTGTTCATTTGTAATATGGAAATAGTAGTACTCACCTATACCTCACAAATTCATATGCTATCTTGAGGAGTGCTATTCAAAAGCCTATAAAGTTTTGTGGGGCAAATACTATTTTTTCCTTTATCCTGTATGTCTAGTATCTAACATAATAGCAACTGTGGCCTGGAGGTGCTACCACAATAAACAATAATACAAATAGTAGTAACAGAAAGAAATATCACTAACACTCCTTGTGAAAGAGCCTACTTAAAGTAACAAAAATCACCCTATAACACTAATTTATTTTGTAAAGTATGGTTACCCCTCTACATCTTTCCAACCCACTCATATTTAAGAAGCTTTAGAAGGCACAAGAATTAACCTAGTAACTGTCTAGCCAGTGACATGGGATTGATTACTTGACAACTTGGATGCACTGATGAAACCATTAGATTACACAGAAGAAGTCCCATACCCCTCATAGCATGCCTGCTCTTCCTTCCACCTGTCAAAAGCCCTTCCATGAGAAACATTTCATTATCTGAACTACTTATGTAGCTTCCCCCACCAGTCTCCCACATATTTAAAAGTATTATTAAGCCTTGTTGCTAAAGAAACATTATTTCAGAGCTCAACTGATTTTCTAGAACAGCCAGTCAAGAGCTGGATAGATTCATATATCTTAGAAAACTTCTGCACTTATAAGCCATATCAATTTTAAGGGAACACGATTTTACATCAATTTTTCCATCCCGCCCCACAAATGGAAAATAAATCTCTTTCTAATCTAAACAAAGCAAAATATGTGTGTGTAATTACACTCAAGCTTACATGGTTTCTTGGCATCCTTGATCTTCATTTCTTCGCAGTTGTAGCAGCTCTTGGTAGCTTTCCTCTTGATATCGATGGGTGCGAGGAGCAGGAGCAGTACCTCGGGGTGGGTCTCTTTCGATCTCCTGACGGGGCGGGAAGTGTCAGCAGTTTGTCAGGGCTGGGTCTCTGATCTCCTGATCCGGAGCGTCGGGCTCGTGGGTAGCAGAGCAGCAGCAGTTCCGAGCCAGTGGGCGTCTGCCCGTCTGGTGGCGGCCTGGGGTAGCAACAGCACCCGACACGTTTGTCTAGTTTAGGAGAAGAGGCACGAGCGCAGGGGTAGGAAGTGATGTCTCCGGTCAGGGTGGGGGGAGGAAGAGGCAAGGACCTGGCCCCCGGTGGCCGGGCACGGCTCCGTTAGGAGGACCCGCCTCGTCTAGGGGACGGTGGCATCATTTCCCGGCCGGGAGGGGGGTGTCAGGGGCGAGGTGGACACGGCTGCCCGCTCGGCTGCTCGTTCGTTGCAGGGGCGGCGGCGCTAGGCTAAGGGG